TGGACCTCCAGCAGGACTGAGGCAGGAGTGGTGGGAGTGCTGCCCCAGGACCTCACCTGCTCGTTCAGCTGGTCGGCTGTCTCAGTCACCAGCTCCTCCAGCATGGCATTCTTCTTCTCCTGCTGCTCTCCCATCTTCTTCAGCTGTGACTTTGTCTCCTGCCGCAAAGCCCTGGCCAGAGAGATGGGGGCAAGGGCAGGGTTACCCCTGCAGGGCTGCTCGGGCACTGTCCCATGCCCACAAAGCTGGATGCTGCCAGAGCCCCTGGGCTCCCTTGCAGCCTCCCAGGGTATGAACCCACTCCTGTCCCCTTACTCAATTTGTTGAGAGATCTCCTTCCTGCTCTCTTCTTTCCACTTGGCAAAATCCTCCTTCAGCTTTTTAAGCTCCCCCTCCAGCTTCTTCATCTGGAAAGGTCAGTGACGGTACAGTCAGGGCACTGACATCATTGTTGTTCCAGCATGGGGGCCCTTTAGCTGCATGGGCAGAGCCAGGGTCCTCCACCCAGTCCTGAGAGCCTGATCCCAAAACCCGCTCTTGGAATCACGTTGAAGTTCCCCATGAGAGCCCAAAGATTACACGACCCAACAACTCACTAAGGCAAGGGAGTCCTTAAGTTTCTTTATGTCGTCTTCCATGACGATCTGTGCTGTCTTTATCCTTTCAACCTCTTCACGGAGATCCTTGATGAGAGCCATGTCCTAGGAGAGAGCAGTGGTGGCAGTGAGCCTCTGGGAGGGTCAATGGGGACCCGCAGGCCCTTGGCCCCTGCTGTGGTTTGTGGAGCCCTGGGGACAGGGCAGGGCCGGGCTCAGCCAGGCTGGCAGGGCTCTGCAGGCAGCACTGTCCGTGCATGGAGCAGGGCCAAGGGTGCTGAGCCTCCAGCCAGCAGAGCAGAGGGCACGGGCTGCGGTCTCAGACCCAAAACTTGCTCCCAGCAGCAGTTCACCTCGTCCCGTGACATCAGGACCTTCTTCATTTCCTCTGTCACATGACGCTGGCCAGCCTTTATCTTTTCAATCTCCTCAAGATGCTGGGAACTCTCTGTGGTCTAGGAGAAAGCATTGTCAGACACAAGTCTCTGGTGAGGGTGTTTAGGAAACATGACCTTAGAACCACAGTGGCCTGCACAGACCTGGGCCTCCTGGAACTTCTTCAAGTCCTCTGACATGCGGGAAGCTTCTGCCTTTATGCCACCAATCTCCTCGCGAATAAGCTGTGAAACAGGCACAGAAACAGGGATGTCAGAGGTGATGGCCAGGGCAGCAACACCTCAAAGAGCCCCACCCTGGCACGGGCAGCCCGTGGCACAGCCAGGTGAGCAGTGAGAGTCCCGGTGCCACCTGCCCCAGGTGGGCTCAGTGCCAGAGCACTGAAGCCCTTCCAGAGAGCAAAGAGCCCCTGCCAGCGGCCCTGCCAGGGCAGTGAGGGCAGAGCCAAGCACGGCTGTCTGAGCAAGTGGGGAGGGGCTGTGTGCTGGGGGAGTGCCCAGGGGCCAGGAAGAGCCTCTACCTTGGACATCTGTTTCTTGAAGTCTTCATTCTCTTTCTTCATCTTTTTCATGTTAGTGGCCAGATCAGCCAGTGAGGGGCCACTCAGCTGGCCTGGCCACGGCTCCTCACTGGTCAGGTACTGCACGTCCAGGTGCTCCAGCACGGCCTGCAGCAGTCTTCGCATGGCTGCAAAATGGACGGCCCCATTGTTGGGCATCCCGATGGCGAGGTCCAGCATCTGGGACAGGCTGAGTGTGTCCAGGGATGTTGCCATGTCTGCACACACTCGGTCTCTGATTTGTCACAAGCCTTCCTGTCAGTTGGGTCTGTCAGGGGTGAGCAAAATGGATGACAAAAGGGATGAACAAAATGGTTGATGGAAGCACAGAACAAAATTGATAATAAAATGGACGAGAGGCCAACAGGCTCCTTCCTCATCCCTTGCAGGACTGGAGACTGCCTGCTGATGCCCCTCCTCAACACAACTCTCATTGCCAGGCAACGCTCCCCAGTCCAATCCCAGGAACCAGTGGGTCCCAGACTCATGAAGTCATAGATTAATGGAGTCTTGGAATTATGCGATTTAGAATGGATGACCATTGATTCCTTTGTTTGCTAAATATAGATAACTAAGTCAAAAGTTTTGTGTGTGTGTGTGTGTGCCTGCAACTATCCCCTCTACATGCCCTGACCAGAATAAAATAATGCCTAATTCTCTAATACTTGAATGTCAGTGTTTGAGGATTTCATTTATCCTAGTTTTGGTGACAGTTTCTAATGACCCAGATGGGACTTTCCTCCTTCTTTTGCTCCATGGATTCACGGGATCGAGAGGACTCCAGTGCACTCCAGAGATTTTTCAGGGAGATCCTCTGATGCCCTAATGCAGTGAGTTCAAGGCAAAGAGCCCTGGGATTTTAGTAAGGTAGTTTCAGACACACTGTTAACTCCAGGTGCAGGAATTCTGGTAATGGCAAATGTGGGGGAAAAGGCTGAGAGAGGGCATGCTCAGAATGTCAGCAGGGAATGCTGGATCAATCTTTCCCTCCTGCACATCCCTGGTGGGAGGAGGTGGAAAACACTGTCACTGTCTTGGTATGGACCAATGGAATTCCAGGGAAATCAAAAGCAGTGGATCCAGTAAGGATTCAGTTGGAGCCTGAGAGAGGACTGGTTAGGCAGAAAAATTATTCATTGAAGTTAGAAGCTAGAAGAGGGTTAGAAGAATGAATTGCTAAAGTTTGCAAGATGGATCACAAAGGGAATATGAGTCCCAATATAGGACTGCTCTCCTGCTGGTAAAGGAAGCACAGACTAAGGAACACAGCCCAGTACAAGATGTCAGAGCTGCCAATGAAATAGTGTGAGACTCAGACCCAGTGGTAGCAAGTCCTTATACAAGTCCTTTTGACACCAGTTAAGGAATCTGATGAGTCCTGATGTGTCTACTGTTGTGGATGTTAAGGATGCTTTTTTCTGCATTGCCCTTGAAACTGAAAGTCAACTCTTGTTTCTTAAATGGAAAGTTCCTTGATAGGCCATGAAACCCAATTGGAGCGGAACGTTCTTCCTCCAGGGTTCAAAAATCACCCCACATTGTTTGAGAAATGCCTCGATTGGAGACAAGTTAGGAGGAAACATCTCCTCTAAAGAAAACAGGTTTGGGCACTCCCTGCCACCCACAGCAAGGAATTTTTTGGAGGAAAGTGAAAAAAGCTGTTTATTTACCACACAGAGTGCAGGCAGGCATGGGAAAAAGAACAAATAATGTTAGATAATCAAACCTTTTGCAGAGAAAGCTGGAGGATTCAGAGCTCTTTCTGTCAGTGTGGCTCAGCTCCTCCCAGCCCGGAGCCAGGTTTGCCATCCCAGGGCCTCCCCTGCGGCCGTGGCGCAGGGCTCCCGGAGATCTTCTGGTGTTTTGGACCAGGGAAAAGCTGCCACAGTCCTGGAAAGACTTCTTGCATTATCAAAGAACAAGAAGCCAGCAAAAAGCCAAGATGTACTCCCTCTGTCTGTGCTGCACAACACAGCTGAGCGAGCCTGGGGGAGGATGGGTGAACACCACACCAAAAGAATTCCACCGCTTTCCACCCCTCTCTCAGACCTAGCTTAAAGTTACGGGACCCATGGCTGGGCATAAAGCAGACTCCTACTGTCACCCCAAGACAAGAACCAATTGGAAAAAGATTTGGAGTTATGGTGTTGCAATTCAAATTTATTTTATCAATGCCTTGTTAAGTGGTTCATCCTGTTGTACCCCCCATGTTCTCCCCAAGTTGGTTTACCCCTGGGTTTTACCCTCCCTCAAAGCTGTCCCTCATGCCATTCCCCACCCCTTGTTCCAGCTCTTTCCCTGCCTGTCAAGGTAACCCAGCCCTTGATTCCTGGGCCTTCTCTGCCACTCAAACCTCAGGCCAATCCCAGTCTGCAACGCCCCTTTGGAATTCCCCTACTCCTCGAAGCCCCATTGGCCCATGTGGCCCATCCTCTCCACCCTCCTACCCAAATTGGCCCCAGACTTGATGGAATCCCCTCCCTCCTCCCCTGAGGATTCCCTATTGGTTAGCTGTTTGTGTCCACCCCTGACTTGTATCTGTATAAAACCCCTGGCTCAGGAGTGCCCAGGCCTCTTTGCTTCAGCTCTCTTTGTGTTCCTTGTGGGACATCAAGACAGAAAGCCTCTGCCTGGTCCCTGTTATGTCTTGTATGTGGCACCTTAGAGCAAGGGGTGTAAAGGATCAGCCTCTGGTAAATCCCCATACTGAGGCAGTTCCCCACTCCTGGAGAGGCTCTGGAGTTCAAAGAGCTGGCCAGGGCTGCGGCAGCCAATTCAGTGTGGGAAAAGGAGAATGAGGATATTGTTTTGCTATAGTATGTAAGTGATCTTTTCCTTGATATGGAAGCTCAAGGGGATGCATGGAAATAATTCCAAGCTTACTGACCTTTTGGGGGCAAGCCAGTTACAGGGTATCCAAGAAGAAGGCCCAGAGTGCCAAAGAGCACGTTACCTATCTGAGGTTCACCATTTCCCAGGGACAGCAAAGCCTTGGAACCAAAAGGACAGAGCCAAACTCCAGAGCTAAGGTCTGTTTGCAAGTTAAGAACATTTCTAGGAATGGGTGGTTGGTGTGGGCTCTGGATTCCTAATTCTGGCCTATGGGTAAGACCTTTATATGAGGCCCTGAGAATTGCCCAAGGAGGTGCTACAGTGGACTCCAGAATGGCAGAGGCTTTCAGAGACCCCAGGAGAGCTCTAATGTCAGCCCTGCACAGGCATTGCCTGACTTGACCAAGCCTCTTGAGCAGTTTGTTCATGAACACTGGCGTGTTGCACTACGGGTGTTGGCTCAGAGGTTATGGACATGGGAAGGGGCCATAGGATATTTTTCCAAACAAGTGGGCAGTGTCAGTTAAGGGATGTCCCTTAACTGCCTTAGACTTGTAGCAGCAACTGCCTTTTAATGCAAGAAGTGCAGAATGGACCATGGGCCAAAAGATGACTGCTCATGTTCCACCCTTGGTCCTCTCAGTTCTAGGACAAAAAGGAGGCCACTGGTTACCCCCAGGTCAAATGCTCAAGTGTCAAGTTGTTGTGCTGGACCAGGGTGATGTGGAACTGCAAACAACTCCTTTGCCTTGCACCCAGCCATGTTCCTGGGATCTGTACCAGAAAGAGGCCTCACAACATAACTGTGTTCATCAGCTTCACTCCAGCAGAGGAGATCCTCTGGGAGAAGATCCAGACTGGGAATTGTCCAGAGGTGGGAGCAATTTTGTGAGCAAAGGAAAGCAGCAGTTTGGGTGTGCAGTAGGGCCCAGTCCAAGCCATCCCGTTACCTCTTACCACCCCTGCACACAAGGCTGAGCTGCTCAGTCTATGGCAGCCTGGAATTGTCATAGGGAAGAAGGGGAACATATGGGCTAATTCTAAGTGTGCATTTGGAGCAGTACATGCCCCAAGTTCTTCCCTTCAAGAGCTGCCATCCACCCACCTCCTGCCCCTTTCCAAACTCTGCTTTGTTCACCCTTAGTCCTTCCTGCTTCTTCAGCAGCAATGTTTGGGTGAGGGGATACAGAGCTGAATTATGAGCCAGAGGAGAAAATAAACCATAGAGGACTCTCAAATCTGCTTTCAAGCATTGGGAAACCTGACAACATGGATAGGAAATATATTTCCTGCACCTTGACCTTTTCAGCCACCTCCTGCTGTTGCTTTGTCAGACGTGTGAATATGGGAGAGTCCAGCAAATCCTCTCTGGCACATCCTCTTAGCTTTAATGTCTCTAATCATTATTGCCTTGGTTTGTTTTTTTTACCTTTTAAGATTTTTTCTTATCCCTAATTTCTTGAGCTTTTTATTGCATACAGTATGAGAAAGAAAACCAGCATCAAAGGCAGCTGTCTGCAGTAGTGATCAATCAAGTTAATTTCCAGTGACATGACAAGGCTCGTAATAAGGAGCTCATCTAGGGAAAACTATAGCAAAGTAAGTTCCTTTCAATGCTGTATTGTTTATTGTCCAAATATGTCTTGCAAGAGATTGGAGGAAGATGAAATAAGAACGATGAAGAAGAACAAGAACAGTAAATGAGCAATTAATCACGAACTTGAAATAAGAACCGTGAATAAAGAACAATGAAATAAGAATAGGAAGTTAGAACAAGAAACTATTTAGAACATTACTACAGAACATGAATGAAGAATGAAGAACATGAATTAAACTGGAGAATGAAGAACATTAATTAAACTGTCTTGTCTGCCTTCTTGACTTTTTTCATTGGAGGCTCCATTCCAGCTGGAGACCTTGGCTGTGGATGTTGTCTTCTGTATGGGTGAAAGAAGAACATGATGAAGTTAATTCAAAACAGTTCCTCTCCCCACTTGTTTTCCTCTGAAATTTGGTTTATGTGTTTTCTTTCCTCTCCATATGCTCATGTGAAAGCATCTCTCAGCTGCTGCCATAACACTGCTGCCCATGGAAGAACTTGGTGCCATGGAGAAGTTCCTGCTGCCAGGGCAGAAGAGCAGCTACTGTGTGAGTGCAAAACATCCAGGAGGGTCCATCTCTCTCCACTCTTCTGTGCCCAATGAACTTCCAGAGCTATGGGTGGATTTTGGAGACTCTGCATTGCTGCCTCAGGATAGTGGACTTGTCCTGTTCTTGTCCTGCAGTTATTTCCTTGCTTACAGAATCTGGGGTTTTGGGGTGACCTCTGGGATGGATCAGCTACAGAGGCAACACTCCCTGCCCCAAAGGACAGGTGGTGGCCAGAGTGGTGGCTTTGCCACTCAGACATTTCCCCATGGCTTCTCTTGGTCACTTTTGGTCAGTGCAATTAAATCCATACTTACAAATTAATAATTGGGATGGCATATTTCCCACTGGGAGTAAGCATTGCTCCCTTTGTGTTGGGGTCCTTCACCTCCACCATAAAACTCATGGGAATTCCTGAGCTCCTTTTAAGCCTGGGAACAGGGCTGGTAGATGATGATGGAACAGGACCCAAGGGTGGCTTCAGGTCGCTGCAAGTTTTTGGGGGTAAAAAAAGAGGAAGGTAGGAATGTGTGTCCCTTGTCAGAACAGATCCCTTGTCAGAGATAAATGTGATTATTCCATGTTCTTCCAAGACCAGCTCTGACCTTACCAACACTTACTTGAGGGGCTCATAGTAACGGCAGGACTGGATCATCATGGCTTTGATCTTGTCCTCCTCTGCAGCATTGGCCTCAGCCAGATTTGGGGTCTGTGTGACAGGGGAGGGTTGGACATACACATGAAGAACACATTTGAGCCTCCACAGCCAAAGACAGCCTCCATGCAGCCTAGGAGAGATCAGCCTCTGGAGGTTTTGCTTTCACAGATATTCCTTCACAAAAGCAACCATTTCAGAGATTTAATAAATGGGTGTTTCATTGACACGGTGTTTTTGTACAGGGACATGATCCAGAGCCACCTCTCTGGAATAATTTCCATCAACATTTACAGAAAAATTTGCAGACACTTCACCAATGTGTTTGAACCCAAATGGTTTACAAAACACAACCAAACCCCACCTAGGAATGGACCCACATTCAAATATGGCACTTTTTACAAAGTAATGATGATACCAAAATCATTTACACTGTCTGCAGTCAAACAAAGGAGATTGTGTTATCCACTGTCCCCAGACCCCAATTTATGGACAAGTGCAGCAACCAAAGAATAGATCTATAGCTGTCATGGCCAAAAATTCAAAACTCAAGCCTCACAAGTGTTCTTGTTTTAGAAATGTTTGTTTTGGCTGCTGCAAACCTCCCTGAAATGTCCATAACTTACAGCCAGTTCAATTCTTCTGTACACATTTGTACAACACAAACTGTTAGTTTCCAGTGCAAAACTGATGATACAAAATGGGAAACAGATGCTGAGGTGCTGCTGCTTTGGCTCTTGAAAAGGAGTAATGCTGCAAGATTATGTTGGGGCTGGTAAGGTGCTCTCCTTTCCTTTCTCTTTCTGGGATAGCATCACAACATACATGCATTTTAAACTTAAATAAACACCTTAAGTTATTAAAAATACAGTTTTGATCACATCACCACAATTATCCAGCTGTAGATCACAGTATAAGGTTTAAAAAGACTAAGCAAATGATTTTTTTTCAAGTATTTGACAAACAATATCTCTATACCTTAATGAGCTGGGCCAGAGAAAGAGGGGCAGAAGAGTCAGAAATCTGTTCACAAAATAATTAAACCATATTCATGTTCAATCTCCAGAAAATTAATGCAAGGCTGCACTGTTCAGCATAAAGTGCAGAGTGTAGGGTAAAGTGTGTAAAGTGTGAGGCTGGGGTTTTACGTACTGCCTTGGATGTTCCCCTCACTGGCTCATTTTGGTTCCTGGCAGAAGAAACAGAGGTGATCAGAACTTAAAATGAAGCATTTGGACTCAGCATCAAGCAGTGAAAACCGACAAGAACACCTGAACCTCAAACCATTATGTTCTCATAGTTGAGTGAATGTGGGAGTTTATTTGTCTTCATAAACTCTTCTCTCTTGGCACCTCCAATGCAACTAAAGCCCCCAAAATCTCATTTCTATTGCCACCAGTTACACAGGAGTGTAGTTTCTTAGCCAGAACAGTGACATGGGCAATGCTCAGGAGTGCAGGTTTCTTACAGTGAAAAATGATCCCTCCTCTGCCAAAGCAATACCAGAACTGCCAGCAGCTCCATCTCCAGAGTGGTGTTTCTCTGTGAGGGCCCTGTGTTCACATCTCTGCCATCCTTAAGCACGACAGAGCCAAGTGCCCAGTGCCTTACAGATGCTACAGTGACTACAAATACTGGTAGAAAGGTCACCTGGAAGCCTTTCCTAGGGGTTGATGCAATTTAGGAGCTCTGTGGGGGAAAAAAAAGAGTCTTAATTGGCAGAATTTCCTTTCAGGTGATCTTGAAAATGCAACAGTATTTTGGGAGCTATTTATTACATTTGCAAACTTGCTGAGATTGCACGCACTCAGAGATCTGTGTCTGATTCAGATGCTCAGGAACCAGACACACAACCCCTGTGAGAGCAGATCCTCATCCCTCCCACACGTCAGCCACTCTGCCAGGTATTTCTGCCTTGTTTCCAGCTGGAGGGACAGAAAGCTCCCCTGCCTGGGAAACTGCCATCACTGCAGCTGCACAGCCATTGTCATCACACACAGGAGCTGATGGGATCTGAGCACTGCCTGCATCCATCCTCCCACTGCAGGGCAGCACCACAACACCAGGGGAGAGCCATCAGCCAAAGGGGAGGATGCTGTGACAGGCCAGCATGAAGCATCCATATTTGCATTAACCCCAAACCAAATGCTTAGAAGCACAACACTGAGGCCTCCAGAATTCTTGGTCTCTCTTCTACAGACATAGTGTAAAAGCCCCAGATTTTGGGTGCAAGATACCTGCCAGATACCCCAGAGTTCCCAAACCCACCTTCCCCAGTGCAAGAAATAGTCAAGTACTGACAACCAGACTCTTCTCAGATGGGAACACATTAAAAGTTTATTTCTAATAATATGTAATTGTTACAGTGTGTACCCGTCATTACTACAAAGCCAATAAAAGCAAACACATAAAATCTGTAATCTCCTCATGAAGAGGAAACAGGATCTGTGACTTGGCTCTCAGCCCAATCATCCCAAGAACAAAAGCAAGAATCACCATAGAATTTACCATTGTTGGAGTTTGAACCCTACATCCCCACAAACCTAACAGAGTGAGTCTGCTTTGGAGCAGACGCATTAAAATCTACCCCATGAAAAAGGAAATTAGCAGCAGCTATGACCAGATGCAGTCCAAGTGCCTCTGCAAACCCATATCCAGAAAAGAAGTTCACAGCCTGACATCCCTCCCAGGGAATCCAGAGCTTCATGGATACTCACGTGGCTTGAGCTGGGACCCTCTTCACAATCACTGAGACGTTCTTGGGGATCTGTGCATCATCAGAGTATTCTGAGAACAGCACAAATGCAGAACAAGTGTGAGTCAGTTGGGAAGAATGGATATAGACATGGAATTAGATGGCACATCACAGAATCCCTTTAGAGCTGTAAAAGTCAGTTTATATGCACCACTGTGGTTTCCCACCCTGGCTTTTGTCCCCAGGGCAGAGCAGGGCTCCCACAGTCTGTGGCACTGTGTGGCTGATCTGTGCCACTGCCCCTGGGTGTGGTGGTGTTTGAGGGCCCCCAGGGTGAGGGAAGAGATGAGAATCTTGACTCCATATTTCAGAAGGCTGATTTGTTACTTCATGATCTATATCATATTAAAATAAAATTATATACTAAAACTATACTAAAGAATAGAGAGAAAGGATTTCATCAGAAGGCTAGAAAGGGAATGAATAATAAAATCTTGTGACTGACCAGAGTCTTGACACAGCTGGACCTGTGATTGGCCATCAAGTAGAAACAATTCACATGAAACCAATCAAAGATGCACCTGTTGGTAAGCAACCTCCAAACCACATTCCAAGCAATCAGATAATTATTGTTTACATTTCATTTCTGAGGCCTCTCAGCTTCCCAGGAGAAAAATCCTAGCAAAAGGATTTTCATAAAATACGTCAGCGACACCTGGGTGGCCCCGGTGCCTGAGCCCCACTCACCTTCATTGGTCTCAGCTTTGAGGATCTGCAGGTCACAGTTGGCCACCTTGAGCCTCTCACGGGCCATGATCAGGCGCTTGAGGTCGGCCAGGGAGATGCTGTGGCCATGAAATGTGACCACATCATAGCCCAGCTTGGAGGAGAACTTGTAGTGCACACCCGACATGGCCCCGAGCGCCAGCCCCGGCTCCTCGGCACTCGCTGCCCCCCAGCCTGAGCTGCCTGGGGCGGCTCGGGCACCTCTGCCTGGTGCTGCCAGGGCAGCCAGGACAGACCACAGAGCTGACAGAGCACTGGGCACCCAGCCAGAGCATTGTGACCTCGTGGGGTGGTGCTGTGGAGCCATGGAACCCCAGAGCTCTGCTCAAAAGGACCCTCATTATCCTCAGCACACACACAGAGCAGGCACAGAGCACCAAGGTGGGGCACTGAGGAAGGCTCCGTGTCTGCCTCTGTCACCCTGTTCTTCTAAAGTTCTTCTAAGCCTTCTGATGTTTACATTTTTGTAATGGTATTTTGTGATGGTGTTTGAGGGTCCCCAGGATGAGGGAAGAGATGAGAATCTTGACTCCATGTTTCAGAAGGCTGATTTATTATTTTATGATACATATTATATTAAAAGAAAATTATATACTAAAACTATACTAAAGAAAGAGAAAGGAGACATCAGAAAGCTAGAAAAGAATGAATAATAAAATCCTGTGACTGACCAGAGAGTCTGACACAGCTGGCTGTGATTGGTCATCAAGTAAAACCAATCCATGTGAGACCAATCAAAGATGCACCTGTTGGTAAACCATCTCCAGACCACATCCCACAGCCATCAGATAGTTATTGTCTACATTTCATTTCTGAGGCATCTCAGCTCCTCAGGAGAAAAATCCTAGTGAGAGGATTTTTATAAAATATGTCAGTGACAGTGTTTCTCACGCACTTTTCATGTAAATAATGATTGTTTTGCATTCCTTTCTGGAGGAGGAGAGAATTGATAGACTGTTGGTTTAACCAGTGTGGTTGGAGAGGTGGCAATTTCATCCTCCAATCCATGGTCACTTTTAGAATTCTATAAATATCAAAGTCCAGAAATAAACGTGCCTTTTTTACTTTAGACATCTCAGTGTGTGAGTGTCATTCATTTTGTGTTGTATTGTGACATTCCTCAGTGGTCCTTTCTGATGAAGGCTGGACGTCCTCCTCACCGTGCCCTTTCCACCTCTCTCCTCCAGGCATGTGCAGCCTCCTTTTGGCTGTTTCAGTGATTTTCTCACTGCTTTCAGCAAGCTCTGCCCTTCATTTCTGCAAGTTCTGTTCCCTGTTTCTTGCCATGTTTCATCCTAGGTCTCTAGCTTGTGGCTAAAATTTGGTAGCTCCTATATTGGTTACCAGGTATTTTATGCTTTTCCCAGTCTGCACAGCGCTTTTAACCCTTTCAGTGCCAAGACCCTGCACTGCACAGGGTCAGGGAGCTGCTGGAGACACAAGAAGGCCTTACCCACCTTGAAAAAAAAAATAATCAGGCGGTATCAGGGATATCTGCACAGACTCTGTGACAGCTCTGGGATAAGGCTGCATGGACAGGTTTCATGGTGTTGTCATCAGGCACCTGTAATTTTCTTGGGGCTTTGCTCTGGAATAAAAACCAGCACCTGCAAACCTCAGCTGCTCTTGAAAAGAATTTAAAACTTTCAGGCAATCTTGGTAGAGGAGAATTTTATATCCAGGAAAAGCAGGAGCCAGGAAGCAAGGGGAAAATCATTCCAGCATTTCCCTATATGTTAAGCACTTTTCTATGAAGGAACTACACAGCCCCTGGATGCAGGAGAACATGGCAGGAAGAGATGGATGTTCCCTTGCTTTATGGGCAGTGCTGAGCCAGGGCACAGGCCACAGGCAGTCAAGGAAATTCCCAGCTGAGAGGCTGTACCATGAAAAAACCACCAAGCCCTGGCATAAATCCATCCAGTCCTGCCTCAGGAGGACAGCAGAACTCTGTGATGCTCAGAGCATCCCCGTGGACATGGGGGGAACAAGGGACAAGGCAGGGGCTGAGGGGTGGCAGCTCCTCCTGGACTGATTCACTGCCATCCCCATTTCCATGTGCTCTGGAGGGCTGTGCTGGGTGACCTGGAAGGACTGAGGATGATCAATCAGTCTGTGCAAAATGAAGGTGGCACTGCTCAAACACACATGGATCAATGCTGAGGTGCAGGGAGGTGGGTCTGGCACAGCACCCTGCAACACTCCTCACCTCAGGGCATTGTGGAAATGTCAGTGAGGGACTGGGGAGACAGAAAATAATCCTGGATTAATAAATGGCACAACCACTCTGAGGCTTGGGAGACACTCGATGGCAGGAGCTGCCCAGCCAGGAGATGGTGCTGGGCTTCCTGTCCCCACCTCTGGCATGGGGTGCACAAGAGCAAACACCTCTGTGACCAGCTCAGCTCCTCCCAGGACAGCTCTGCAGCCTCCCAGGCACCTGCAGAGCCCAAACACAGATGGCTCCAGGTCACTGCTGGGGCCCAGGGCAGAGGGATCAGTGCCACAGCCCTGTGGCCCCAGCCCCTTCCAGCTCATGACACTTTGTGCTCTGCAGAACACCCTGAACACGCCCCAGCAGCCCCAGGATGCCCAACTTCAGCCACAGAGTTTATTGTTCAGTAGGAGCTCACCACACCAGCAAGCCAGGACAAGGGGGATGGTACATGAATACAGATGTGGAGGAGTTACACAGACAGATTTGTACAGCTTTTGTACAGAGGAAGAAAATGAATCAAATAACAAAATAGACATTAGCAGTCAAACATTTTTTTTTGTCTTTTTTTTTGTATCATACTAACAAAATCTGATAGCCAAAAAATGACTAAGCTACAAAATTGTAATACATACTGTATGGGTAAAAGGTTATCATCCATTTATACATCTAGTATCATCTTTTTTCTGGTAACTTACAGGAAGCCTATAGGATCTTAGTGTATTAATAACTCCCTACAGATAGTGCTGAGCTGCTAAAGCTGCTGAATAACAGAGTATTGGAATTTTCATTAAGACTTTTACAGTGCCATTTTGCATTGTTTTGTTTAATGAAACCCTTATGCATCTCTACTGCAAGTCAGAGGAGCTGCTGGTGGCTGGGGGGAGGCAGGAGCTGTAAGGCCTTGGCTGGCAGCTTGGCACCTGTCATTGCAGAGCTGTGACACCCAGGCAGTTTGGTGCCATCGTTCCACAGGGCGCCAGCACGGTGCTGCCCTTGCTCCAGATCTCTGGATGCTGCAGGAGGGATAAGCTGACATTCCCAAGCAAGACTCATTCTTTTCCCCTTTGGTCTTGAGAAATAGAGAAGAAATCACTCCATGGTAAGTAGTCTCCATCCCAAGGGCTGTTTTTGCAGTGGGTAAGGGCTCAGCTCCCAGCAGAACAGCAGCACTGACTGTCAGGGCACTGCCCCTGGCTGTGGGGGCTGCTCCTTCCCTCGGAGCCCAGCTCTGTGTCACCCCCTGCTCCCCACCCTGCACCCCTGCTCAGGACCCACCTGCAGCTGGGAAACCAGCATGGCACTCTCAGGCTGGGAGAAAGGCTGGGGAAAGCACAGCCCTCCCTTAGCAGCTCCCAGGGATCGAGGTAAGAGCAAGGCTGAAGCCAAAGGGGGAGTGAAGGCACAAACAGGAACCAGCCCGGATCAACAACAGGACAAGGGGACATCACCACTGCTCCAGGGCCCCAAAGTCTCCCAAAGCCAGCAGGACCAAGGATTGTGAAGCACTTTATACACCACCACATAGGTAAAAATAGCACTTAAACTTACAAATAAATAGAGGGGATGGGGAATCTCCCCCTTGTCCTTTCCAAGTTTGTCCCTAGTGTGGTCTCTTACCACCTGAGGAGGGCAGCCAGAGGCTGGTGCCCTGGGGAAGCCTGTGCTGATTTTGGACAGGGAGGAAGTGAGTGAGTGCAATCCCTCCTTACACAGGGCTGAGCTGAAGCCCACATGAGCACACAAATATCTGCTGGCATTTTGGATGGTCCTGTTTGGGAGCAGCTCCCATGGACCTGCACCCCAGACCCTCAGCCCTGCCACACAGTGACCACAGAGCCTGCACAGAGAGCCAAGCAGTGCCAACAGCTCCTGGCTGATCCTCAGGGAGCAGCAGAGTCATTTACAGCCAGAGAAGGCCATCAGCACTGGCTCTGAACCTGCTCTGAACCCTTCTGCTCCTGTGCTGCATTGTCTCCTGAGCTGAACAGGAAAAGCCCCAGGTCAGGGAATGGTGCCTGGGAAGAGGCAGGAGCCAGAGACTCTTCCAGCCTGGCAACTTTGGATCTGATCAACAGAACCAAAAACATGGTCCCCATGGGGACTCCCAGGGGATCCCACTCTGTGCAGAGCCAAAGGGAGGTGGAAAGCAGAGATATCTCTGCTGCAGGTGAAGGCAGCTGGTCACGAGTCACTGGAAGACCCAAACAGGAAAATAAATTACAAACCAGAATGGGGCCTCCCTCTTGCAGGTGCCCAGGGAAGCCCACAGGGTCTGCAGACATGACTTCAGAGACCATCCAGCCAACAGGAGCATTTGGGGAACATCAGCCCTAAATTCTTCAAATCAGCAGTGAGGTATTCACTAATGAGGGCTGTAACAAACAAAAACTCCCTCTGGGACTTTCCAAAATCACTTAGATGATGAATACTCAGTCAGAAGGGTTGTGGAGACCACTCCTACAATCCTTTGGGAAACTGCCAGAGCTAGGCAGAGATGTGGCAATCTTCCTGGTGATTTGTAAGAGCTGAAGAAACACTTCTACAAGGCAGGATGGAATCCTACATGAATTACTTCCAGTCAGTTCCATCCCACGCTCTGCCTCCTGCTACCATGAGCAGATTTCTGCTGTGATTTCTGACCTGTTTTACTTCCCCTTCCTCTCCCATCCTCCTCTGAAGGACAGGAGATCACCAATCCTGTATCAGGCGAGAAGGGTCAAGTGTTCAATGTCATTCTCTTCATGGCAGAATCACAGTCCTGAAGCTCAAGTCTTTCCCAGGCTGCTCCTGGCTGTCCATCCTTCAAAGAAGGAGTCTGGCAACCCTCAAAGAGGAAGTGACACAACTTGGTGGGAAATCAGGGCAAAGAGGAACAGAGCTGATGTGCCCTCGTGTTCACCTGCTGGGGT